TTACAGACCTGGCCATTCCACCTTAACACCGTGTATCAACATGCTTACAGACCTGGCCATTCCACCTTAACACCGTGTATCAACATGCTTACAGACCTGGCCCTTCCACCTTAACACCGTGTATCAACATGCTTACAGACCTGGCCATTCCACCTTAACACCGTGTATCAACATGCTTACAGACCTGGCCCTTCCACCTTAACACCGTGTATCAACATGCTTACAGACCTGGCCCTTCCACCTTAACACCGTGTATCAACATGCTTACAGACCTGGCCCTTCCACCTTAACACCGTGTATCAACATGCTTACAGACCTGGCCATTCCACCTTAACACCGTGTAATCAACATGCTTACAGACCTGGCCATTCTACCTTAACACCGTGTATCAACATGCTTACAGACCTGGCCCTTCCACCTTAACACCGTGTATCAACATGCTTACAGACCTGGCCCTTCCACCTTAACACCGTGTATCAACATGCTTACAGACCTGGCCATTCCACCTTAACACCGTGTATCAACATGCTTACAGACCTGGCCATTCCACCTTAACACCGTGTATCAACATGCTTACAGACCTGGCCATTCCACCTTAACACCATGTATCAACATGCTTACAGACCTGGCCATTCTACCTTAACACCGTGTATCAACATGCTTACAGACCTGGCCATTCTACCTTAACACCGTGTATCAACATGCTTACAGACCTGGCCATTCTACCTTAACACCGTGTATCAACATGCTTACAGACCTGGCCCTTCCACCTTAACACCGTGTATCAACATGCTTACAGACCTGGCCCTTCCACCTTAACACCTTGTATCAACATGCTTACAGACCTGGCCATTCCACCTTAACACCATGTATCAACATGCTTACAGACCTGGCCATTCCACCTTAACACCGTGTATCAACATGCTTACAGACCTGGCCCTTCCACCTTAACACCGTGTATCAACATGCTTACAGACCTGGCCCTTCCACCTTAACACCGTGTATCAACATGCTTACAGACCTGGCCATTCTACCTTAACACCGTGTATCAACATGCTTACAGACCTGGCCCTTCCACCTTAACAACCGTGTATCAACATGCTTACAGACCTGGCCCTTCCACCTTAACACCGTGTATCAACATGCTTACAGACCTGGCCCTTCCACCTTAACACCGTGTATCAACATGCTTACAGACCTGGCCCTTCCACCTTAACACCGTGTATCAACATGCTTACAGACCTGGCCCTTCCACCTTAACACCGTGTATCAACATGCTTACAGACCTGGCCCTTCTACCTTAACACCGTGTATCAACATGCTTACAGACCTGGCCATTCTACCTTAACACCGTGTATCAACATGCTTACAGACCTGGCCATTCTACCTTAACACCGTGTATCAACATGCTTACAGACCTGGCCATTCCACCTTAACACCGTGTATCAACATGCTTACAGACCTGGCCATTCCACCTGCACCACTTTAACACAAATGACAGATGACTGGAAGGGCGAACTAGATAATAGGAAGCTAGTGGGTGCAGTACTACTTGAGTGGGTGGGTGCAGTACTACTTGAGTGAGTGGGTGCAGTACTACTTGAGTGAGTGGGTGCAGTACTACTTGAGTGAGTGGGTGCAGTGCTACTTGAGTGAGTGGGTGCAGTACTACTTGAGTGAGTGGGTGCAGTGCTACTTGAGTGAGTGGGTGCAGTACTACTTGAGTGAGTGGGTGCAGTACTACTTGAGTGAGTGGGTGCAGTACTACTTGAGTGAGTGGGTGCAGTACTACTTGAGTGAGTGGGTGCAGTACTACTTGAGTGAGTGGGTGCAGTACTACTTGAGTGAGTGGGTGCAGTACTACTTGAGTGAGTGGGTGCAGTACTACTTGAGTGAGTGGGTGCAGTACTACTTGAGTGAGTGGGTGCAGTACTACTTGAGTGAGTGGGTGCAGTACTACTTGAGTGAGTGGGTACAGTACTACTTGGTTTTAGTTCTGCTTTTGATGTCATTGACCATTCTTTGTTGTTACACAAGCTGGAACAACATGGTTTTCATTTTGAAACGCTGAGGCGGTTAGAACGTTACCGGACAAATCGAAGTCAAACTGTTTTTTTTAATGGAAGTCTCTCAAAGATGAAAACAGTCACTTGTGGAGTACCTCAGGGTAGTTGTTTGGGACCACTTTTATTTTCTATTTTTACAAATGACCTACCATTAGTGTCAGAAAAAGCGCTCCTGCCGCCCGCTTGTGGCAGACCACACTTCCACGCTCACCGGCAGGCACCGACTGGCCATCGGGAGGACCGGGAGGGTGTGTGTATGTGTGGCCCGAGCGAGAGAGAGAGAGACCTTACGTGCATTGTTGTTGTTAGCATCTGGTGCTAGCTAGCTGCGCTAACGGATATAAGGAGCTGTTTCAATGAAAACAGAGGAGCGACATTTCGCCACAACTGCGCCGAGCACTTGGCTTTATGCCGGAAGCCAGACAGTGGGACATTGTACGAAAAGTCAGCACACTCAGCACAGATAGTGCGCAACATGATTGCAGCGTCCAGGCAGCTCCGGTTCGAGCATATGCCTTGAGTTGCACATAGCGCCAACGCCCATACCACCGACGACATGTTTGTTTACTGTCCTGGCTTCACGAGTTAGGGAGCGCTGGATTTGTGAAGAACTCCCCTCTTCCTAAACCACTAATACCACAGTACTGGCAAAACGGGAGGAGCCGAGTGAAAAACAAGCGCCCCTCATCCCAATCCACCCACACCGCAGTATTTCTTTCTTTTTTTTACCCAAAAAATATATTGTATATTATCGGGGCTATTAATACTGGTATCGGGTTTATCGGGATGACGTCATAATTCCTAATTATCGGACTGATAATCAGTCCAGATCCCTGATCAGCTGTCAGTCCAGAGCCTGATCAGCTGTCAGTCCAGATCCTGATCAGCTGTCAGTCCAGAGCCCTGATCAGCTGTCAGTCCAGAGCCTGATCAGCTGTCAGTCCAGATCCTGATCAGCTGTCAGTCCAGAGCCTGATCAGCTGTCAGTCCAGAGCCTGATCAGCTGTCAGTCCAGAGCCTGATCAGCTGTCAGTCCAGAGTCTGATCAGCTGTCAGTCCAGAGCCCTGATCAGCTGTCAGTCCAGATCCTGATCAGCTGTCAGTCCAGAGCCCTGATCAGCTGTCAGTCCAGAGCCTGATCAGCTGTCAGTCCAGATCCTGATCAGCTGTCAGTCCAGATCCCTGATCAGCTGTCAGTCCAGAGCCTGATCAGCTGTCAGTCCAGATCCCTGATCAGCTGTCAGTCCAGAGCCTGATCAGCTGTCAGTCCAGAGCCTGATCAGCTGTCAGTCCAGAGCCTGATCAGCTGTCAGTCCAGAGCCCTGATCAGCTGTCAGTCCAGAGCCTGATCAGCTGTCAGTCCAGATCCCTGATCAGCTGTCAGTCCAGATCCCTGATCAGCTGTCAGTCCAGAGCCTGATCAGCTGTCAGTCCAGATCCTGATCAGCTGTCAGTCCAGAGCCTGATCAGCTGTCAGTCCAGATCCTGATCAGCTGTCAGTCCAGATCCTGATCAGCTGTCAGTCCAGATCCCTGATCAGCTGTCAGTCCAGAGCCTGATCAGCTGTCAGTCCAGAGCCCTGATCAGCTGTCAGTCCAGAGCCCGATCAGCTGTCAGTCCAGATCCTGATCAGCTGTCAGTCCAGATCCCTGATCAGCTGTCAGTCCAGAGCCTGATCAGCTGTCAGTCCAGATCCCTGATCAGCTGTCAGTCCAGATCCTGATCAGCTGTCAGTCCAGAGCCTGATCAGCTGTCAGTCCAGAGCCCTGATCAGCTGTCAGTCCAGAGCCTGATCAGCTGGAACTCTTTACAGGTCCACATCATTCAGGAACATTCTCAAGTACATTTCAAAAGGTTGCTAAAAAATTATTTAAGTATTACAAAGTACGTTTGAACTGTGGCTATGTGTGCATATGTTATTATGTACACTTCTTTGTATTGACTTTGTTTGGCCTTAGGGTGGCGATAATTGGATGACCATTTTAGTTTTCTCTTCATACAGCACTGCACACTGCATGAAATGATGAGCTGTTTTGTTTTGTTTTAATTGTGTTGTATGTTTATGTGTGTTTTGAATGTGTGAGGACCCCAGGAAGAATAGCCAATGCTCATGCTAGTGCTAATGGGGATCCTAATAAAGACATAAGACATATATGTCTCTATATGTCTCTATTTGTCTCTATTTGTCTCTATATATCTCTATATGTCTCTATATATCTCTTAATGTCTCTATGTGTCCTCTATATATATATATATAGGTCTGTATATGTCCTCTATATATATCTATAGGTCTGTATATGTCCTCTGTCTGTCCTCTCCAGATGTTGTGATGGATTTTGGCCCCGGATGATGCGTTCAGGGACACACAGTGGTGTCAGTGTTTCCATCACCCAGGCCTCAGCTGTCTGTCTGTCTCTCTGTGTGTCTCTCTCTCCCTGTCTGTGCACTCCCTGTCTGTCTGTCTCCAGCTGCAGGACACGGTGTCTCCCCTCAGAGGACACAGACCCCCCGGTGCTTTGTCTTACCGTGTGTCGCGTTCAGGCTCCGGGCTGCGGACCCGCCGCTCCTCCGCCGCTGTCCCTGGTCTCTCCGGGGGGTCTGTGTGTCTCCGTGTCTGTCCCGGTTTGTCCCGGTGTATCCCGGTTTGTCCCGGTGTGTCCCGGTTTGTCCCGGTTCTCCTCTGGTGTCTGCGTCTCTCGGCCTGCTTTAGTGGAGGTGCAGTGCGCATGCGCAGAGGAGAAGGCGTCACACAGACTGAGAGCTTCTTGATAAAATGAAATAATGTTTGAAAGAAAATACAATTATTTTAAAATAAAAAATAAAATTATTTTTAAATGAATTCAGTAGTTCTTCCTTTATTTGTTCAGAATCAGAAACCCTGTTTTCGTCCCGCAGACTCTTCTACGGTGGCCCTGAGAGGCCAGGGTGCTGCAAATTAAAAAACCCTGCAAATAAAAAGAAACAGAAACGCCGTGCAAATAAAAACGCCGTGATGCAAATAAAAAAGCCACAACGGAAGTGAATTACCGGGGACTATTATTGCTGATGCACATGCGGTTTTTTATGCGAGAGAAGAAGAAGTCTGGGGGATCTCCAGGAAACATCTCTTGGGTAAGTTTATAATGTTAAAGTTACACAGGATGTAGATAATATCTGTCGCTGCCGTATTTATGACTTTAAATGACGTTATTTTGTGTGTGGGAGCAGATTATGTGTGTAGTGTATAATGTTAGTAGAACATAGCTTTGATCAAAACTGCAGAAAGCTATTTTGAAGTTGTTTACTTGTCTGTGAAAACTGATTCTGATTCTGCTCGATTTATCCGTGCAGCTTGAACCGTTTTAAATCTAGACTACCACACACACACACACACACACACACACACACACACACACACACACACACACACACACACACACACACACACACACACACACACACACACACACACACACACACAGTATTATTGCATGTTTAACTGCCTGAGGCTTGTCTTGCCCTTGTCAGTGGGGAATGTCGTGATTAAGACACACTTGCAATCCATGTTGGGATATTCCTTGTATTAAGCCAGCGTTGAAAGTAGTACTGATTAGTCTTTCCAAATGTGTTCGTGTTATTTACAAACTAGTGCAGTGCCCGTTCGGGGCATGGCCGTTCAGAGCTTGTGCCCGTACTAAGCGGACCGATTGTTTGGCTCCCATAATTGCTGCTTGCAATGTTGTCCGGGGGGCATACCCGATCGGAGCGCGTAGATTCGTCAAAAATAAAGGTTTAGAAAAATTAATCCCAAAAAATTCTAAATGAAGGATGCACATCATCGTGCAATCCGCAAGCCATATACGAAAGTTTAGATCGATCTGACAAACAGTCAGAGAGATATGCGAGACACAGACACACACACAGACATTTCTTGCTTTATAGATAGATAGAGAGATAGATAGATAGATAGATAGATAGATGGATAGATAGATAGATAGATAGATAGATGGATAGATAGATGGATAGATAGATAGATGGATAGATAGATAGATGGATAGATGGATAGATAGATAGATAGATAGATAGATGGATAGATAGATAGATAGATGGATAGATAGATGGATAGATAGATAGATGGATAGATAGATAGATAGATAGATAGATAGATAGATGGATAGATAGATAGATAGATAGATAGATAGATAGATGGATAGATAGATAGATAGATAGATAGATAGATGGATAGATAGATAGCAGTGCATGACATTAAGGAGTTTGGGAGATGGCCCTGTGGGCCATCTAAGCTAATTTACAGATGGCCCTGAGCCCAATAGAGATTGCCCTGAAAAATGTGCGCGGACGAAATTACGCACGAAGGGTTTGGGGGGCCTCCCCCTAGAACATTTAGATTTTTGCAGGTCTTACTGTAGATGCTGTCTGGTTCTCTAGACTGAATTATAAGATGAACGACCACAATATTATATTGTACAATTTCAATTGTATTCTTCATTTCACTTGTTTGTTTGTGTTTGCTCGCTTGCATGCCCTGCATAGCTATAAGAAATACTTAAGTTGTTGGTCAAGACACTTTCCATCTGATGAAGGCAAATGCCTTCCCAGATGTAAAAAAGTAGAAAACATTACATTCGGTTATAACTGCCAAAACAAACATTATTTACACTATTATGGCCCCTGTTAAAAATGTTTGTAAAGTTATCTACTGTAAATTGGTCGAATGCCTCCTCATCCGGAAGCTGACCGAGCAGACCCGAGCAGCAGTCGAGAGGAGCCGAGCGCATCCGCGAAGCACACAAAATGGCGACGTCAGATTTCCCGTTAGCCGGCAAATCTAAATCTCTTCGGTCAAAATCATTTCCCTTTAGCCCAATACCGCTTCAGTTGCGCCACTTATGTGACAGACAAGAAGAGTATGTGACAGACAAGAAGAGTATGTGAGTCAATTCTAGTGTCTAACACGTAATGTGGAGAAAGAGATGTCCTGGATGGGTTGATTGTGCGTTGATCTGTTGGTAATGCCTCGGGGTTCCGGTGGGCATGTAAACAAATGCATAATGCTGCGCTATACTTTGTGGCCTCACCCGGTTGCATAGCGACACTTATTGTTTAGGTGTCTTTTAATAAGCATGTAATCATATCATTAGCTAGAACTAGCTAGATCTGATCGATATGGACATAAACGCGAGTGAAGTCTAATCTGACGGGAGAGAGAGATCAGCTGCTGCTGACGAGTTGACACGCAGCTCTGCATGATCACCTGCAGCGGTGAGCGGACAAAACACACACTTCAGGTTAGAATATCACACGTAGCTATTTTAATTACCTCTCAAACTACCTAAACTAGTTATAGATATGTTTAGTTTTACTGTCGGGTCACTCATTACTGGATCCGCGAGCTGCATGATACTGGCACAATAGATTGCCCGATCGGGCAACCAGCAGGTGAGGCTTCATTGCCCGAGCTAAATACTAGATGGCCCCGGGCCATCGGGCAGCCCTTAATGTCGAGCCCTGGATAGATAGATGGATAGATAGATATATGGATAGATAGATAGATAGATATATGGATAGATGGATAGATAGATAGATGGATAGATAGATATATGGATAGATAGATATATAGATAGATAGATGGATAGATAGATATATGGATAGATGGATAGATAGATAGATAGATAGATAGATAGATAGATGGATAGATGGATAGATAGATAGATGGATAGATAGATATGGATAGATGGATAGATAGATAGATGGATAGATAGATAGATAGATAGATAGATGTTCATGCAATTGAAGCGCAAAGCAACCTAATGATACTTTATTTGTTTTGTTGCAGGTCATAATGTATTGTCCTTTTTGTGGACAGCAGCAGGCTTCTAAATCAGCCTTTTGCTGTTCATGTGGCAAGGACATCAAATTCCTGTGTGATGTTGATAAAACAGGCACAAGTGGAGGTCATTTTTATTTTATTATTTTTGTTATTAGGCTTAGGTCCTAATTTTCTGTCAGAGGATCTGGTCAGCTACATCTCAGGGCAGAGCAGTTTCAAGGCATCTGTCGGAGACATTACAGATGAGGAGATAGGGAAAGTCCTACAAGAGGTATGAGAAGGGTGTGAAATTCTAGAATAGGTAAAGAGAGAGTTTTGTCCACTTAAACCATTCTTTCAAGATATACTTCTGGCATTACCATTTTTTATAATTACGTGTCATTTTTTAAATGTGTGGGACTCTGTTATCTCTTCTTTTAGATTCAGAATTCACCCTCAGTGGAGATCCTTCAGGACTTGATGATACGGAACAGTGCCATGTTGCAGACTGCTGGGTGCTTCAGACATGTCAGGTCATGTGAAGAAAAAAAATGATTGTAGAGGATTACCTGAAGTGGTACATAATCCACAGGAACAACACTGCAATCGAAAGGTAGGTTTTTGTATTTCATTGTTATTGCTAAAATAATTATGAAAAACGTGTTGCTGTTGTCCCATTTTCTTGCTTACTTACTTACATGATGCACATGTATCTTTGCATGCATCTTTTAATTGTATTTTAGATTCAAGGCTGGACTTGAAAGTTTGCAGTTTCTGACAGCTCTGCAGCAGCATCCGACGGTTCTGACCCCTGCTCTCTGTCATGCCGATGTGAAGCTGTCTGCTGCAGAGATGGAAAATCTGTTCCAGCCTGAATTTAGTCAACAGGGAAGCAACAGAAGGGCTCAGGAAGAGAAAGCTATGAGTTACTGGGCAGACTATCTTCTCGATTGTGAAGGTTAGTCAATTTGCTCTTGTCTGATTTTTATACACACAGATTATAAAAAGTTCCGGTGTTCATGTAGATAGTATTTACTGTCAATTGATTCCAATGTTCTCTACTTTTTAGAAAATGACAGCTCAGTGACCTTGGAGGAGGTGTTAATGTTCGCTACAGGTGTGCCATGTGTGCCTCCTGCTGGTATGAGTCCTCTGCCACGCCTTCAATTCCTATGTTCTACAACGTCAACATTCCCAATGGCAAATACCTGTGCCAACATTTTAAAGCTTCCTCTTTTGGACACTTATGGTGCCTTCAAAGCCAACATGAACTTTGGCATTAATAATTCCCCCGGCTTTGGGTGCCTTTAAACAATTAAATAACTTGTGGTAAAAGTTAATGTTGCCACACACAGTCCGTTGTTTTAATGTTGCGGTCTGTCCGACCAAAATGTTGTGACGTAAGAGAGATGAGTATTTTTCATGGCAGATTTGTCCTATTTCATATCTAACATGTGAACAACACCACACATTTGTATTGTATTGTTATTGTATTCTCGTTAGGTAGGTAAGGTAGACCGTGGTTAAATCAAGAGTTCAGAACATGTGTTAAGATGTTTTACAAATATTTACATAAACAGTAAATAAAGACTGCAAAAGGCACCTTGTCGTGCAAATGTGCCAATTTTGTTTTGGCCATTTGATCATGTTTTTACATGGACTTTGTGAAAGAGTAAAGCTGAATGACTCTTCATTAAATGGTTTAAAAGTGTTTCATTTTAACGTAAGGACTTGTTTTCTACGTATAGCATATATGTTACACACTCGCTACAAAGATGACACGGCTGTAGCTGGTTCACAAGATTGTATTCTCAGATCCACTGTGAAAACAGAAATAACAGTAGCATATGTGACTGATGCAATGAATGAATGTTATTGTTGATTCATCAATTTGTTATGAGCTGTGTCTGAAATCACTCACTACTCACTATATAGAATTCCCTATAGTGTGAATGAGAGTGATTTCGGACACGCCTTGGTCTTTAAAATGTCAGAAAGTGAAGCCTCACAGAGAACAAATGAATCCAGCAAATATTCACATTTTAGAGGCTGGAACCTGCTTATATTCAAAACACAATTAAAATCAATTACCAAAATATTAGGTGTATAATTTTCTGACAATCGACCATTCAACTGATAACACGGATGTAACACTAAACATGTTTTACAAAATACATGAATATGCTGTATGTTTATTTAAACAAAGAAAGGTTTCAGTCTAATGACTTATGCAAAGATACAAGCTGAATATTTCACTGGACTTATCTACTCAGAATTGCAGCATTCTAAATAATATTCAACCTACATTGGAAACTTGTACACACAAAAGGTTCTGGGGGGCTGGTGGGGCAATGTATTCTACACTCCAGATATGTTTTTCATGGAAATGTAATTCTGAACAGCAGCTGTCCAGTTCACTGGTGGAGCCAACCCACTCCGTCTTTGCAAGTCCACAAAATGCATCTCCAGATTCTCATCACCACACAAATTGTACTGGGATGATGCTTGCATGATGCCATCAAAGTGGTGTAGGGCTTCCCAGGACGCTGGAAATCCACACTCCCTTCCGCCAAACCTAAGACCAGTCATAAATTGAAACATAATGAGTCAAGTGATTACAAATGGATCATTTAACCCCCCCCAAACATGCTAGATAAGCATTATAACTAAAACTCCATTGAGTCAGTTCTTCGTTAATGAAATCCTAAACAAAGAGCTTTGACTTGTGTTTAGAGTATGAGAGGTCCTGATAATTTATTCCGGTAAATTACTCTGACCTCCTAATTGACCTTTCCGAAGATTATTGAGTCTATGTAAGGTTGCTGCTTGGCTCAGATCCACCAACGTCAGCAAGATCTCACCTCTTCCTAACCCCCCCGAAGAACCAAGGTTTCAATTAACTGCTGTTTCAATTCAGACAACTCTTTTTTAATCTGTTTAAGCGATCCCGAAGGATTTTGATATCAGTAAATGGAGTGTGCTCCTACCTAAGTGTGTGTGGCAGGGTGCAATCTTACCTTTGACGCAGGAGAGGAGAGCACAGGTGTCTTTTAAAGGATCCCAATCCAACAGGTGGGATTCAGTTTATTTGAAGAAAAATAGGTCCAAACTAATACAGGGTTTTTACCTTCTCTCTCACAACATTATAATCATCCTAACAAAAAACCGTGCTGTGATCATGTTCAAATGAAACTTTAATTCACAGTCTTACATTTATTACCAAAATGTTTTAATTTCAACTGCCCATTTCAGTTGTGACATTTTAAAATTCTCCCGATAGAATTTAGAGGTATTTCCTCGTAAAAAGACCGGTGACAATAAAAAGCGCATTCAACTTTTCATTCACCCATTTATTCACATCAGTTTCATACACTTTTTCCGACACAGACGGCGGATTAACCTTTCAAAAACACATTCCTATCCGCAAAATTCGGGGGACCAGATGTTTTCCCCACAGGTCGCGGTATTTATAAAGGTTCACACACACATCTCTCATCAAATCATTCCACTCAGCCAACAACCAATAAATTCGAGAGATATTTACCAAGTGTGAGAGGATCTTTTCCGAGAGCTAGTTACCCAGCTCTGAAGCACACAGCCTACCCGGAGAGAGTCTACCAGGGGTCTCCCCCCCCTCTCTCGCGCTCTCTCAAAAAACCAGTCTCTTTATGCTAAAAAAACTGGATCCTAAACCCAAAAAAACAAACTCCTCCTCTTACACCCAATTCAGTTGAAAACCGCGCATGCGCATAATGTACAAGGCTGAACATGTCCCAACATGTTCCACAGCTGTTATGGGATAAGACACCCTTTCATATGAGGTAAAAAGGACATGAACTCTCTTTGGCCTCTTAATGTTTCTCCCCTTAGTGTGAAGCCCCCCCCCCCTTCCCTGTGGACTGCTGCCAGAGGAGAGGAAGACAACTCAACCTAAACACCACTTTGTTTTGTTTATACTGTAACTATAGAAAAACTAAAATATGAAGCATTTTCCTTGTGGGTTATACAAGAATATAATTGATTATAACTAACTTTCGTTTTTAAGTATTAAACATACTATGAAAACTCACAACACCCTCTTTTCAAAACGCAAAGTTATCAAAATAGCAACAGAAAAAATTGTAAGCATAGATACATATTCAAAAACCGTCAAGAAGCATTCTCATTATGGGTTTATACAAGAATATGATTGATCATGTATGATTTATAATTAACTTTCGTTTTTTAAGTATTCACTTCATACCATGATCTCAATTAACTTTCGTTTTAAGTATTCACTTCATATGAAGACTCACAACACCCTCTTTTCAAACGCAAAGTTTATCAAACTGGCAACAGATAAAATCGTAAAAACACATACATATTACATCCGTAAAACTCCACGCATCAATATCATGAAAAGTTCTTCAGTATGTGTAATCAGGACGACCCTTTGATGAACCTGGTGTGAAAAAACACCGAAAACATAGTACCGTACAGGAATGTCCTTGGGCGAGGGGCCCATCTGTTGTAGACTCCTAAATCCATGTTGCTATCTGATGTATATCCTTGACCCTGACCATGGAGGGGTTGCAGTTTTTCGCTGGACGACATCTCCAAACGAAAACCAGATAACTCGGTCGACAGTTGTTATGGATTTTTTAGACCTCGTAACTAATCGCTCATGACTTTGTGACAAGGTCAATGAGTCCCCACACAATGATAGCACAAACGAGGAACCAGAGGCATATGAAACAGCTTAGCTGGCACTGGCTCATGACATCCTGTGTGTGCAGTGTGAGATTAGGTGTATGTGGTGCCAGTGTGGTGCTGGTGGTACTTGTTGTCGTCTTTCGTTGGTGACTAGGACACATCACTTGTTGTCGTCTGTTTCTACCGTCTCTCCTGGCCTGTGACTACGACCTTGCAGTGGCTGGCGTGGACCCATGTGGCTCTCTCGGTGACCTTGACCGCTGTCTGGGTGATGAGGAGCACCTGGTAGGGACCTTGCCAACGGTTGGATTTCCAGCTCTTTCTCCGGAAGTCCTTGACCAGCACGAAGTCACCGGGTTGGAGATGGTGAAGTGGACCAGTGGCAGGGGGTAGTTAGGGTTGCTGCTACCTGGCGTCTGATATCTGACCATGCAGTTATCGGGTAGTCGTCATCCTTTTCTGGGAAATCCACTGCGATCTGAGTGGCTCAGCGGGTAGAGATGCAGCCTGTCCCACAGAGCTGGAAGAATCATCCTCCTTCTCTGGCGGGGTCATAGGTGACTCAGCCTCTGATCCATTAATAATTGTTTCAATTGAAACAATTTCCCCCAGGAATCCTTCCAAGGGGTCTGGTACTCCATGTTCCTCTGGAATGTCTATTGACAGCAAGGACATCTTTTTGGCTTGGGCACCCGGGGAGACCTCCGAATCAGATCGCTCTTACGAGTCTCCTCCTTTTCACCGCTTGCCCCTTCCGGTCCTTCTGCACAGGTTTCCTGGGTCCAGGAGTCTACTTAGCTTCACTTGAGGCACTGTGACTGAAGTTTCCCCGCTAGGCAGGTTCAAATCCTCTTGGTAGATTGCTGAGGTATTAATCTCAACAATATAGCTAAAATCAAGTTTAAATCATTTCTCTGATTCATAAAAAGTTGTTTCAGTTAAAATAAAAACTTCCCCAAGGGTTTTCTCAAGAGGGTCGTGTATTCCATATTGCTCTGTAATTTCTATACACAGCAAGGTGATTGTTTCTCCTCTTACTCAGTTGGCCTCTAATGGCAGAAAGCACTGGGCCATAATTTACTCTTATCAGTTTAACGACCTGACAGCCCTACACCTTCATGCTGTGTGAGAACCAGCAAAAAAGAAGGAGAGATGTATTCAAAAAATCAAATTTAAATGAATACTCTTTTTAGGGTGTAAGCGTATATCAATTAAAAATAACTGAAAAGAAAACTAATAGTGTAAAGTTAAAAAACAATGAGGAAAATAATATAAAGGTTATTTTCCATTTCCTCTTTGATACTGAGGTATTCTCCATCCAAGCTCTAATGATCCATATGCTTAATAGACAGAGTTTCGTCTTGCCATCTTTCTGCATAATTCACTATAGATTCTAACAGTTCTACTGCTAAATCCTTTGCATTGGAGCTATTGCTTGTTACTCTGATTTAAATTCCCTCTTTTGCTCTATCAAATATCCCTTGGTACAGAATTCACCAAGACAAATTGTAACTTATTGCGGGAAGATCCCACAAAAAGCCATCCTCTCCTGTGGAAGAAAGCACATTAACTGCCACGTGTGTGTGCAACACATGTCATGTGATGTGAGACTGATAGCATCAACAGTGGATGGGTAGGCCGCAGTCATATTCCTATCTGGATTCTAAACTCAGTTGGCTTGGGTGAACCGGTCCTCTCCTCTGGAGTGAAACTACTTTCCCAGAAAATTGACTTCACTGTATCCAAACCTTCTGATCTAGTTTTAAGCTAACCCTTCTCTGGACTTTGCCCCTTTCTGGTCACCCATACACGATTTCTGAATTTAAACGGAAAAGGTGTGATAGTTAGATATGACCTGACCTTTGCCCTAGGTAGCTTTTCCATACTTATAGGAATATATTCAGCCTTGTCAAATTGATTGGAATGTCCCAATTTGTCTTACAGTTTTTTATACTCCACTCTTTGGCTGCTCTAACGCCTGATACTTCTATGGTAAAGACCAGATAGGTGTGATTTCTTTATCCTGCAAGGGTGACAAAAACTTTCTCATCTTTAAAGTGAGTGACATTATCCATTCCTATTTTCTCAGTTTTTAGGAAAAATACTTATATGTTCCGCCATTTTAGCAGACACTGTGTTCCAGTTGCTCTGGTCAGAGGATAGACATGTTTATGACTCCCTCCATTTATCAAAGGTCACAAGGAAATACTTATTCCCACTGGGAGTGCGGGTCAGAAAAATACCTGCTATGTCAGCACTAAAAATGGTTAGTGGTCCTTCCTCTATTATTTTAAGATGCTCAGGATGAACTTTCTTAAACCCATCCACCTCTACACATTGAAGACATGTTGACCATGTGTGTTGTAAGTGCAATCGCAGTTTTGGTAAGAGGATTTTATTGTGGAGACAATATTTCCTCATCTGAAATAGGCCCACATGGCCTAAACTGCTGTGTAATTCACGCACAACCTAAGGAGCTTCTTCAGGTGGTACGTGAATGCTTCCACCCTTTTTCCATATTCTAGGGAATATGGCAGTCAGGTGGTTAACTCGTCCCGTGCTTTAAGCAAGGTCAAACTTCTCTATTACCCTGATAGTTAAATTATATCTTATCTATATGGCTACGGACATGATTCCATTCTACATGCCTGCTTTTAACTCTGCAATAAGACCCTCAATAGATGGGGTGTAAGCGCTTCACCTTTCACATTTTTTAACTGCCTTTGTTTCCAATTATTAAGCTCTTCTTTACCCGCTTTTTAATAATAATCACTATCAGTAATAATACGGATGTGTGCTATTTTTCCTTTTTTAGCAAAAGGAAGTCCCTCAACAAATGGCCTTTTCCTCAGCAGGCTGTACCTGGTATTGCACCCTTTTGCTCGCAAAGTACTTCGCCTGAATTAGTTTTCTTTATAAAGGCCCAAGTGGCTGCTTGGTCACCTTTTCGCAAACTCCCCTCTGTCAACAGTGTTATCTGTGGAGTAGCGGTTTTCTGTTCGGGTTTCAATGTTTCCCTTTGTGGCTTACTTCCTGAGGTCCTCTGCACCCCACATCTGGATCAGACATTATCATCTTCCATTTTCTTCATCTACTCATCATTGTTTCTGCTCCCTGAACAGTTTGTTTAGTAGCTTCAGATATTGAAAAATAAAGAGTGTATATGCACATTTTGGTACCTTGAGACATTTCCCTCAGGGCTGGATACATTTTTAATGCAAGTGCAAGATGCTTCTCTTCAGGTGATAATTTTCCCTCTGTTCCTGATCAAGTCATGGACATGAATAACACAGATTTTCTATCACCCTGGTTCCTTATCTCCACATTGTTAGTTTCTGAGAATGGGTCTCAACATACTCTTTTGGTTTATGATATTTGATATTATTGTTCTGGTGTTAAGATAATTTTTTGAATCTCCCTCTTTTCTTAACAACTGGAGCTATGTCTATTTTAGATCCGACTTGGTTAAGAGTTGATTTATTCATTGGTGAGAGGAACACTATTTCCCTTGTGCTGGGGTGGGGGTGGGTAGCCTGGGAGAGTTCCTTAAAATCTCCAGATCTTCCTCTGTGCTGAGGCCATAAAACTTTTAATGGTCTTTCGTGGTCTGCTCAAATTGTCTTCCCCTCCAGAGGTCACGCCTGTCTTTGACCCTGTGTGCTGCGTGTTTCTGCAGCACCTCGGGAGCAGAGAAAAGAGGAGACCTTTTTTCCAAAAGTGCATTCTCCTTCATGAGCAAAATAGCACCACATTTAACTCTCCCTGACTTGTCTTTAAAGCGTTCTTTAAGGCTTGAATTGAGTTTTCCGTTGTGTAACGGAAAATCCCATTCCCAAACAGGGGTCAAAAGTAAATAGTTTAGTTGATTTTGGTAAAGTATTTGAGCCTTAGCTTCGCAAAAACGTTCTCATATTAGTTTTGAAGATATTTTTGGGGCTTGATTATCTGCTGATAGTTCCCACATAGGTTTTTTCTTAAAAGTACATTCAAAACAACCGGTATTTGTGGGTCATCTGATCACCACATCGCCTTCTGACAGTTTAATAGTCCTTATCATATTATCACACTGTTATTGCATGCTAGGACCTATTCTCTTTGCCAGAGCTACTGCTATTTCTCCTGCATGTTTTAGCTTCCTATTAGCAGGGTTTATTAACATGGTTTGTTGATCCAGTTTAAGATTTTCAATATTTGACATTATTATTTTCCAACATTCCTTTTTCCTGAATATCATGTCTAACAATGTGGGTTTTTTTTTTTCTTTCTAGGAGTAGTAGATGGGATACTCCTAAATGGCATTTTTTGAGCTTTTATCCCTGTATGGTGGAGATAGGGTCTCAAACATTATACCACCTGCTTGTTGCTCTCTGTCAAACGGTAGTCTGACAGGAAAGTATTTTGGTCGCGGTACGCCCGTGGGTCTGGGCTAAGCTGACCAGGGCGGGCAGAAGCTCCGGATTTTGCTTCTGTGTATCCCCCCTGTGTGGTTGGCTCCGAGTCATTAAAAACTGCGTTCTAACCTCGTCCGCCATTTATTTTTGTTTGTTTGTTTTAAAAAACAACACAAAAATGTATTAAAGGCTTCAAGTTCACTCTTTTATACACATGCAAGTTCCTAGGCTTTACTCTCGACGGGCGTACAGTCCGACTATACCGTCACTTGGTTCTAAGTTCTCTTTCTGGATTCAGTTAGTACATGCGGGTACCTCAGCTAAGAGTTTTATTTACCGAGCTTCGAATTTTTTAAACAGCATAGGTACCTTTAGACCTATGTTTATCTTTATTAAATCTCCTATTAACTCTTCCCCACGTTATGTTTTAACGCAAAAGTTCAAACCGCAGCTCTTGGTCAAGTCCTACCTATAAGTTTCAAAGTAATTGGACAAGTACTGAGCAGTGCTCCTACGGCTGACTTCACTTTAGCCACCTAAACCTGTGTTAAAGGGACCACAGGCTTCTCAATTTGACTAGGGGAAAATGAACCTTCTTTAGCTTCTTTAATCAGACAGCTATATCCGATATAATATAACCCTCAGTCCGGTGCAATAGTATTAACTTAAATTACTACACTTTCAGGTTTAATTATATATATTCTAGGATTTGGGGTAGGTATTTTAACAAGACTTTCAGCCTGTATTTCGCTGATTTGTATTCATCGACTTTTTTCACTAGGTCGTTTTGGTTCTTGTATTTTGACTCTGTAAAAGTATTATTTTTCACAGAGCCCCACGTTGGGCGCCATGTTTAGAGTATTGAGAGGTCCTGATAATTTATTCCGGCAAATTATTCTGACCTCCTAATTGACCTTTCCGAAGATTATTGAGTCTATGTAAGTTTGCTGCGTGGCTCAGATCCACCAACGTCAGCAAGATCTCACCTCTACTAACTTCCCGAAGAACCAAGGTTTCAATTAACTGCTGTTTCAATTCAGACAACTCTTTTTTAATCTGTTTAAGCGATCCCGAAGGATTTTGATATCAGTAAATGGAGTGTGCTCCTACCTAAGTGTGTGTGGCAGGGTGCAATCTTACCTTTGACGCAGGAGAGGAGGGCACAGGTGTCTTTTAAAGGATCCCAATCCAACAGGTGGGATTCAGTTTATTTGAAGAAAAATAGGTCCAAACTAATACAGGGTTTTTCCTTCTCTCTCACAACATTATAATCATCCTAACAAAAACACCGTGCTGTGATCATGTTCAAATGAAACTTTAATTCACAGTCTTACATTTATTACCAAAATGTTTTAATTTCAACTGCCCATTTCAGTTGTGACATTTTAAAATTCTCCCGATAGAATTTAGAGGTATTTCCTCGTAAAAAGACCGGTGACAATAAAAAGCGCATTCAACTTTTCATTCACCCATTTATTCACATCAGTTTTCATACACTTTTTCCGACACAGACGGCGGATTAACCTTTCAAAAACCCATTCCTGTCCGCAAAATTCGAAGGAAGGTCCTTACAGGTCGCGGTATTTATAATTTTCAAACACTTTTTCCGACACAGACGGCGGATTAACCTTTCAAAAACACATTCCTATCCGCAAAATTCGAAGGAAGGTCCTTACAGGTCGCGGTATTTATAATTTTCAAACACTTTCTCTCATCAAATCATTCCACTCAGCCAACAACCAATAAATTCGAGAGATATTTACCCCGTCTAGAAGGACCTTACCGAGAGCTATTAACCCAGCTCTGAAGCACACAGCCTACCCGGAGAGAGTCTACCAGGGGTCACCCCCCCTCTCTCGCGCTCTCTCAAAAAACCAGTCTCTTTATGCTAAAAAAACTGGATCCTAAACCCAAAAAAACAAACTCCTCCTCTTACACCCAATTCAGTTGAAAACCGCGCATGCGCATAATGTACAAGGCTGAACATGTCCCAACATGTTCCACAGCTGTTATGGGATAAGACACCCTTTCATATGAGGTAAAAAGGACATGAACTCTCTTTGGCCTCTTAATGTTTCTCCCCTTAGTGTGAAGCCCCCCCCCTTCCCTGTGGACTGCTGCCAGAGGAGAGGAAGACAACTCAACCTAAACACCACTTTGTTTTGTTTATACTGTAACTATAGAAAAACTAAAATATGAAGCATTTTCCTTGTGGGTTATACAAGAATATAATTGATTATAACTAACTTTCGTTTTTAAGTATTAAACATACTATGAAAACTCACAACACCCTCTTTTCAAAACGCAAAGTTATCAAAATAGCAACAGAAAAAATTGTAAGCATAGATACATATTCAAAAACCGTCAAGAAGCATTCTCATTATGGGTTTATACAAGAATATGATTGATCATTATGATTTATAATTAACTTTCGTTTTTTAAGTATTCACTTCATACCATGATCTCAATTAACTTTCGTTTTAAGTATTCACTTCATATGAAGACTCACAACACTTGAGAAGTTAATCTCAGGTTGACAGCAGCTCTTTCAGTCAAATATGGTCATTCTACTCACTTTCTAACACAAGGTACTTTTTGGAATTGAGTAAGATAAATCGACAGAATAGCTTTGGACATTTTCTGATTTATCAGAATCCATTTTTAGTCGTTTAAGACTTGAAATCATTTTTGAAATAATGAGTTTTCAGACTAAATGAATCACGTTATTTATCAAGTGACAAACTTGTCATATTGGGCTGATACACCAAATTATATGAAGTCAGATATATTTTAAAGTAATATTACCAAACAATTTCAATACAAACCTGTGAGGCAGGTGGTACATGGCATCAGGTTTACCTGATGGACACAGACAGGCGAACAGGTCGGATGGTGTGTGGTTGTTCCACAGCTGTCTGTACTCATCGAGGTCTTTTTGTAAGATGCCCAAAAACACATATCGCAGCAGACACTTGTGCTCATGGCTTCCATTGAAGAGGTGCCTCTCTCTAAGGTCACTGAAGAGCTCGATCCAGAACTGAGTCCTAATGGTGGAATTCAAAACTTTTGTATTTCATGAAAAAAAGACAACAAATATTTCTAGAAATGTTGTACATTTCTTGGTGCGCTCCTACATTATTTCATTTGGGAGCACATAAACTCCCTTGGGAAAATGTTAGTGTACAGCTCTAATGTAACTTCTCAATTGTTTTCATCCAGATAGATTTAAAGTATTTGGGCACCTCTGTACTATATACACACACACATACATTCTTGGACCTGACCTTAAAAGGCTATACCTTTGCTTTCTGAAGAAAGACCACCAACTCTCGATGCGCTGGTTTGCAGTTGAGGTACCATACATGTGACTGAGGGCTCCTGCAAAATCATCTGTGTGTTGAGATCGTAATGTGCAGTTAATGGCTGCCATAGTGCCGTTTTCAGTTCCACAGTCAGTGCGAAGGCGGGCTGGAAGTAGTCCAAACTCCGATACACACTGCAGGTAATACTGCGCAATGATGCCCGGATCGTTGTTAGTGCTGCCACTCCTGAGCCACATAGCTTTTCTTGAAAAGCCGTCGATGCAGCCACTGATGGCAATACCAAAGGGTTTAAGTTTATCATATCCATCAGCGTGCCACACTTGGTTTGGTCCTGCTGTGACGTATCCCCTTCGGACAAACCTTCGCCTGGAACGAAGTTGAACACCAGATGGATCCAGTCTGGAAATCGTCTGTCTAACATCCTCCCTTTTTACTGTCAGGTGATACTTTTGTTGCAATGTCTGCCACATAGCTCTGTAACCCAACAGCCGACCCGAGCCTCTCAGTTCATGTGCAACAGTTTGGTGTACAGTGCCAATGGGAGTGTAGTCTATCCTTCTTGTTAAGCCAGCGTTCTGCAGCCTCCTCTTTAAGGTCCTCAGACTAAGAACAATGTTGTGTCTTTTTTCTAGAAAATCAAGTATCACTTCATAAGCGTGTCCCTCTGTGAAGTACTTGTGGATGAGGCCTGCCTCGATTCCTTCATTCGATTCTGTGACTGAAGGGAAAAGACAACAGTGTCATTAGGAATGAAACTTAATAAGAACAAAATGAAAATGTATCAGTAACGAGGAAAATACCTGAACTGTGTGATGCATAAGTGTATGTTTTCAGTATGTTCAATGCGTGAACAATTCCAGACATGAGGAGCAAAAAATAAGAGAAATAAACAGGCAAAGGACAAAATATTGGGATGCTTACATAATTGGTAAGGATAAAAATACATATCAATCTAGAGGTAGCGAACAAAAAGGAACCCTTTTAATGCCTGTATTTGTGCATAAACGCATCAGAAGGCTCAACCCTCACATGAAGGAGCACATCATTGGTCAACTTTGGTATTTCACCTGATTTTTTTACTTGTTGGCATTTTTTTTTATCAGTAGTTCTAAATCATGTTGAAATTGCCATGACTGACAATAATATGTGTATAGCATATATTAAAATGGCAACAAATCATATACAAATAAGACATTATCACTGTACTGGTGAAATTCTTGACTTTTAAGGAGGAGCTTACCATCTTCGAGAAAGGGAGCCAAACATTCAATGTTGCTGCCACAGGAGCCGCAACACCTCCCAAAACACCCACCAGTCCCACAATATGGACAATACATTGCCTGTGGAAAAGGAGCAATGTGAATGTTATTCATTTGCAATGAAGTAACAGCTACTTGGTAAGCTATTGCAGCAAGTAATGTTACCTGCAAACAGCTGACACTAATTTAACAGCAGATATCAGCTGCAATCACTTAATATCTGAACCATGCATCCATCTACAATGTCAAAATACATTAAAAAAAAAGAAGAAAGATTTAAAGCCAGTAAACTTCCCAAAGGAAGCACGTCTTGGACAGGATAGAGACCCTTCTCTATCTCTAAGCAGGATAAGAGACCATCATTTATCTCTAGACAGGCACATTTAGATAACATGTTGATAGAGTCAAGATTGACTACAGGATGTTAGTGAAGATCTAATATGTATTCAATATAGGGCTGGGCAACGATTACAAGTTTTAATCGCGTTTCCTGCGATTAACGCGCTAATAACGCGTTAACTTGCCCAGCCCTAATTCAGTCAAAGTTGTTCCTTCAGAGCATGTTGAGGAGAGGACCCGAGCTCGTCTGTTGAATAAAGGCATATTCAACTTACTTTGTGTGTCTTAGCATCATCTTTAAGTCCCGGTCGGCTCAGATCCGTTTGTTTAGAAAACAGCTAACGTTAGCAGATAAAAGTAGCTATGTTCTCCTAACATTATACACTACACACATAATCTGCTCCCACACACAAAATAACGTCATTTAAAGTCATAAATACGGCAGCGACAGATATTATCTACATCCTGTGTAACTTTAACATTATAAACTTACCCAAGAGATGTTTCCTGGAGATCCCCCAGACTTCTTCTTCTCTCACATAAAAAACCCGCATGTGCATCAGCAATAATAGTCCCCGGTAATTCACTTCCGTTGTGGCTTTTTTATTTGCATCGCGGCGTTTTTATTTGCGCGGCGTTTCTGTTTCTTTTTATTTGCAGCGTTTTTTAAATTTGCAGCAGCCTGGCCTCTCGGGGCCACCGTACTCTTCACTACAGAAACACAGCGTGGAGGAAGCAGAGAGCGAAACACACAGATCCGTCTCTAGCTCAGGGACACAGACCCAACCTCTTCTGAACTGAGAGGGGGGTCAGTGGATGTTTGGGTCAGTGGATGTTTGGGTCAGTGGATGTTTGGGTCAGTGGATGTTTGGGTCAGTGGATGTTTGGGTCAGTGGATGTTTGGGTCAGTGGATGTTTGGGTCAGTGGATGTTTGGGTCAGTGGATGTTTGGGTCATTGGATTTTCTTTTCACAAATGGAAATTCTAAAACAAAAAACGACTGGATATTTAATTTTCGGCGTTTTTTAAAGGCGTTTTTCTTTATCATTTACTAAACTTAAAAAACGGGATGATTTTCATTTTCTACTTCTCAAAACAAAAAATAAAATCACTAGAAAACAGAAACAAAAAAACTACCGTTTTTTCATATTCTGCTACCGGAAGTTACCTTACAAAATAAGAGCGCAGACGAAACTCACGGAAGTGATTTCAAAACAAAAGCACTCGTAGGCTTTGCTAAAATCACACTTTGAATCACTACAGTATCCTGTTGAAGGAACTGTGATTATTATAAACAAGGGGAATTTAGCGATCACAATGAAAACGGCCAACACACACTTTGAGCCCAGAACATGAATGTTATTAAGGGCTAAAAATAGGCCTATTTCTAAAATGGACAACATTGTTAGGAGATTTCAACTATACAGCGATTCTGCACTGCGGTCACCTCAGCCGTCTGTCGAGTTTGTTTTTCAAATCAGCTGCTTTTCATTTTTTCCCTGCTATATTCAATGAGTGATACAAATATCTTTGTCCACAAGTTCTTAATAAAACTGACTGTTGGACTCGGTACTAATTTGACTGCTACTGCTACACCACTCAGACCGCAAGGTATTATAGGTTCGTTTATTAACTTCCACAAGGCACGTGTGCAATATGTCAGCATCTCAAACGATCTCAAAGCACACACACTTCTTCTGTTCATCTCCAGCATCAAACAATGATGAACCATCAGCTGATCTGCCCCCTTGTGGTATGAACATGCAGGTGCAGGTAGACAACCTCAACCTTATGGGTGCTGCACTACCAGAAATGAAATGAAGTACTTTGACTGTGTACTTTGTGAGTACTCCTCTGTCAGAGCTTGTACTGTGTACTTTGTGAGTACTCCTCTGTCAGAGCTTGTACTGTGTACTTTGTGAGTAATCCTCTGTCAGAGCTTGTACTGTGTACTTTGTGAGTAATACTGTGTCAGAGCTTGTACTGTGTACTTTGTGAGTAATCCTCTGTCAGAGCTTGTACTGTGTACTTTGTGAGTAATCCTCTGTCAGAGCTTGTACTGTGTACTTTGTGAGTAATCCTCTGTCAGAGCTTGTACTGTGTACTTTGTGAGTAATCCTCTGTCAGAGCTTGTACTGTGTACTTTGTGAGTAATCCTCTGTCAGAGCTTGTACTGTGTACTTTGTGCGTAATACTCTGTCAGAGCTTGTACTGTGTACTTTGTGAGTAATACTCTGTCAGAGCTTGTACTGTGTACTTTGTGAGTAACCCTCTGTCAGAGCTTGTACTGTGTACTTTGTGAGTAATCCTCTGTCAGAGCTTGTACTGTGTACTTTGTGAGTAATACTCTGTCAGAGCTTGTACTGTGTACTTTGTGAGTAATACTCTGTCAGAGCTTGTACTGTGTACTTTGTGAGTAATACTCTGTCAGAGCTTGTACTGTGTACTTTGTGAGTAATACTCTGTCAGAGCTTGTACTGTGTACTTTGTGAGTAATACTCTATCAGAGCTTGTACTGTGTACTTTGTGAGTAATCCTCTGTCAGAGCTTGTACTGTGTACTTTGTGCGTAATACTCTGTCAGAGCTTGTACTGTGTACTTTGTGAGTAATACTCTGTCAGAGCTTGTACTGTGTACTTTGTGAGTAATCCTCTGTCAGAGCTTGTACTGTGTACTTTGTGAGTAATACTCTGTCAGAGCTTGTACTGTGTACTTTGTGAGTAATACTCTGTCAGAGCTTGTACTGTGTACTTTGTGAGTAATACTCTGTCAGAGCTTGTACTGTGTACTTTGTGAGTAATACTCTGTCAGAGCTTGTACTGTGTACTTTGTGAGTAATACTCTGTCAGAGCTTGTACTGTGTACTTTGTGAGTAATACTCTGTCAGAGCTTGTACTGTGTACTTTGTGAGTAACCCTCTGTCAGAGCTTGTACTGTGTACTTTGTGAGTAATCCTCTGTCAGAGCTTGTACTGTGTACTTTGTGAGTAATCCTCTGTCAGAGCTTGTACTGTGTACTTTGTGAGTAATACTCTGTCAGAGCTTGTACTGTGTACTTTGTGAGTAATACTCTGTCAGAGCTTGTACTGTGTACTTTGTGAGTAATACTCTGTCAGAGCTTGTACTGTGTACTTTGTGAGTAATACTCTGTCAGAGCTTGTACTGTGTACTTTGTGAGTAACCCTCTGTCAGAGCTTGTACTGTGTACTTTGTGAGTAACCCTCTGTCAGAGCTTGTACTGTGTACTTTGTGAGTAACCCTCTGTCAGAGCTTGTACTGTGTACTTTGTGAGTAATCCTCTGTCAGAGTCCCCTCCTGAGAGTGATATTGTTGGACGGAGTACTTTGAAGGATGCTGGACTTGATATCAGCTCTACTTCCAGTCAGAACTCCGGCAGCAGCTTTTACACCTTGGAAAGTCTTTAGAGTCTGGATCGCTGGTCTGTCCTTCAGCACACTGACACACTCTGTCACATGGTTGGCCTCTTGTGAAGCTGCATCCTTCCATCCAGTGCTTGAATTGGAATGAAAAAGGTGCCAGTACTCTAAAATCAGCAACTTTTTCAAGTCAATTTTATATATACAGCCCACAAACAAGAATTTGGCTACTATAATGCTGGTGGGTTTGTCTCTTTACTACTGTATATTTTAGAAAGGTTCACTGTACTTAATATTTTTTATGATAAGCAGCGGATATGGCTAAAGCTCAGTAAGGTCAATATTAACTGAAAATATAGCAATCAAAGTCTAGATCTTCTGCTGAAGACACATGAAGCAGAGACCTTTCAGGTGAGAGCCCCTCTGGTGGTGTTCAACATTAATGACAAGGAAACAAAGCTCTGGTCAGAAGCATTTTTTATAAAAAGCTTTAACAAAATTAAGTATTTCTGTACATTTTGAATGCAATCTAACTTTCCAACTCAGAAAACGAAAAACGAAAAAGTGCCAAAAGTCTTCTCACATGGCTGAGCTGCTTTGCAATATACTTCACCACTGAAGAATACAAATATGTATAAAGTAAACTATGATGCAATCTAACTTTCCAACTCAGAAAAATGATAAAGAGCATGAACAAAGAACATGTAAAAACAAATGCAAAATTTGCACAATCTAAAATGAGAAACTGTAACTGCAAGTAACAAAGTCTGAGCCATGGTAAAGAGTTACATTGAACACCAGGCTGATCAGATAACTCCCTGGTTGGTGTTTAGAGTATTGAGAGGTCCTGATAATTTATTCCGGCAAATTATTCTGACCTCCTAATTGACCTTTCCGAAGATTATTGAGTCTATGTAAGTTTGCTGCGTGGCTCAGATCCACCAACGTCAGCAAGATCTCACCTCTACTAACTTCCCGAAGAACCAAGGTTTCAATTAACTGCTGTTTCAATTCAGACAACTCTTTTTTAATCTGTTTAAGCGATCCCGAAGGATTTTGATATCAGTAAATGGAGTGTGCTCCTACCTAAGTGTGTGTGGCAGGGTGCAATCTTACCTTTGACGCAGGAGAGGAGGGCACAGGTGTCTTTTAAAGGATCCCAATCCAACAGGTGGGATTCAGTTTATTTGAAGAAAAATAGGTCCAAACTAATACAGGGTTTTTACCTTCTCTCTCACAACATTATAATCATCCTAACAAAAACACCGTGCTGTGATCATGTTCAAATGAAACTTTAATTCACAGTCTTACATTTATTACCAAAATGTTTTAATTTCAACTGCCCATTTCAGTTGTGACATTTTAAAATTCTCCCGATAGAATTTAGAGGTATTTCCTCGTAAAAAGACCGGTGACAATAAAAAGCGCATTCAACTTTTCATTCACCCATTTATTCACATCAGTTTCATACACTTTTTCCGACACAGACGGCGGATTAACCTTTCAAAAACACATTCCTATCCGCAAAATTCGGGGGACCAGATGTTTTCCCCACAGGTCGCGGTATTTATAAAGGTTCGCACACACATCTCTCATCAAATCATTCCACTCAGCCAACAACCAATAAATTCGAGAGATATTTACCCCGTCTAGAAGGACCTTACCGAGAGCTATTAACCCAGCTCTGAAGCACACAGCCTACCCGGAGAGAGTCTACCAGGGGTCACCCCCCCTCTCTCGCGCTCTCTCAAAAAACCAGTCTCTTTATGCTAAAAAAACTGGATCCTAAACCCAAAAAAACAAACTCCTCCTCTTACACCCAATTCAGTTGAAAACCGCGCATGCGCATAATGTACAAGGCTGAACATGTCCCAACATGTTCCACAGCTGTTATGGGATAAGACACCCTTTCATATGAGGTAAAAAGGACATGAACTCTCTTTGGCCTCTTAATGTTTCTCCCCTTAGTGTGAAGCCCCCCCCCCCCCCCCTCTCTCTGGACTGCTGCCAGAGGAGAGGAAGAAAACTCAACCTAAACAACCCACTTGGTTTTGTTTATACTGTAACTATAGAAAACCTAAAATATGAAGCATTTTCATTGTGGGTTATACAAGAATATAATTGATTATATTTGATTATAACTAACTTTCGTTTTTAAGTATTAAACATACTATGAAAACTCACAACACCCTCTTTTCAAAACGCAAAGTTCTCAAATAGCAACAGAAAAAATTGTAAGCATAGATACATATTCAAAAACCGTCAAGAAGCATTCTCATTATG